ACAATGCTTCCGTGCAGGTGTTAATGCTTATGGAGATGCCTCTGAGGAACTGGCAATAGATCTTTTCTATTGGTTAAAGAGCTCACCCTCTCGAAGAGAAGATTACATCCATGTATTCAGTGATCTTGGACTTGATGAAGAGTTATTTATCCGGCATGTACAATGTAGGTGGCTCACACTTATTCCTGCATTAGACAGAATTGTCAAGAAATGGGAAGCGATCAAGAAGTACTTCTGGGAAGAATTGCCCAAGCAACAGAAGCCCTCAAAGACCTTGGAGAAGAATGACCGGCACAATCGCATATGTAGAAAACTAAGGGACAAGTCCTTCCCAGTGCAGTTGGCTTTTCTTGTGTCTGTGAAGTCAATCTTTAAGAAGTTTCTATGCTTCTTCCAGAGTGAAGGGCCACTGATTCACCTACTGCGTCATACAATGTGTGAACTACTGAAGTCCCTAATGGGTCGCTTTCTCAAGACCCAAGTCCTGGCAGACAAAGAGCGGAAGCACCTGCTGGCAATAGACTATTCCAAGCCAGATAACCAACTTTCCATGTCACAGATGGAAGTAGGAGAGAAAACGCGATCAGCTCTGTCCAAGCTGTCTCATGACCAACAGAAGAAAGCTCTTCTAGGAATGAAACAGTTCTATGTGGACACCACAAAGTATCTGATTGGCCATCTAACATTAGACAACAAGCTTTTGAGAGATGTCTCTTTCCTGCATCCAGTTCTTAGGGATAGCAAGCATGGAGTACAAGCTATACGTAGACTGGCAGTTATGATGCCAACACTATCAGAAGAAGAAGTTGCTTTGGTTACAGATGAGTGGAAAGTGTACCAGGCTGGGCAAGTCGACGAGGAGAGTGCCACAAGAAGAGTTGACCATTACTGGGCAGATGTGTTCCAGGAGAAATCTCTGCAGGGAGAATGCAAGCATTCCGTTCTTCAGAAGCTTGTGAAAGGCCTTCTCTGTTTAGCTCATGGCAATGCGGATGTAGAACGAAGTCGTTCTGCAAACAAGAAGACAGTTACTCCTGACAGAACTTCTCTTGGTGAGTTGACAATAAATGGTTTGCGTACTGTGAAAGATCATGTCAAGGTGTCTGGAGAGCCACAAAATGTTAAGATCACAAAAGGGTTGCTTGAAGCATCGAGAGATGCACACAAGGCACATGCAAAGAGGCTTGCTGATGAGAGGGAAGAGCTGGCAAAAAACGGAGAATGGAAGAATCAGAGAAAGAGATGCACAGGGAAATTGAGAAACAGAAAGAAAAAGAAGTAGAGAAGTTGGAAAAAGGAAGACTAAATTTGTCTGACAGAGAGAAAGAATTGACGAAGGCTGAAAAACAGAAAGACAGTGAGCTACACATTGCTAAAACACTCTATAAAGAAGCAAATGAACGACTTTCACAGGCAATTAAGGACAAAAACTTCAACAAGGCTGCAATAGCTCAAGGGCTACTTAAAGTTGCCAAGCAAAAGTTGGAATATGCAGTGGAGCAAACCAAAGAGTGTTCAAACAAGAGAGTTGAGCTTGACAAAAACAAAGAGACTCCTTGAAGACTACTCCAAGCATCTATCTACCAAAAAGAGGAAAGACTAAGTGTGGAGGACATTTATATGATGTACATTTAAAGTGTAGTAATGTTGTACCCATGAATACTTTGAGAGCATGGTGGTAATGCATGAGTTCAGTAGCATTGTTGAGATTACAAGAAATGATTGATGTGATCAAGAACGTTTGCTTGGATGAATTTAAGACTGAATGTGTTAAGAATGTAAAGTTTGAGATTATTTCCAACAGCGTGCTCTCTGGTGTTGGAACAGAGGAGGCTATTGCATTCTGAATAACACTATCCTTTAGTGTATCAGCTGTTTAATATTCTGTTTTGTTGAGTGTAGAAAATGCAGACAGATAAGGCAATAAAAAGGATCTTTTTGCTTTATATGTGTTGAAAATACTTTTTAAAAATCCCTATATTCCCCCTATATTTTTTAAAATTCCCCTATATTATCCCTGTATTCTTGTAAAAAA